AGCACGAGTGAGTTTTCCAGGCCGAGCGTTAGCGAGCCCGTAACAAGCGAATATTCGCTAATGCAGTTTTCAGCACAGTGATTTTTGATCGTTGAATTTTTTAATTCTATTAAACATTTATTATGAAAAATGGGTCGGCCAGTTCGCATCTCAGATTTAAGACCTTTAGATTTATTTTGGTGATGATACATAAAAGTTTGGGCACATTTGCTACCCTTAGATTATTTATAAGATTAAAAAATAGAAATATGAATGTGTTTGCCGCTTAAATTATTGAATTTGAAATAGATCTTATTAATTGTTTGTATAATAAAGTGGTAGTACTTCATCTTCTTCGAGTTCAACTTTTTTATATTATAAATTATTTTTTTTATCGATTGAAAATTAAGTAAACATCTAAGTCTCTTATAATGCTGTAATCTTAATCCATCAAAATCCGCTCAAAAAGGCGTTCGTTGCAATTTAAAAAACCATAGATTTCAGGCTAAAAACAATGGCATTTACAGAACTTCAATATCTCTGTCCGTTTTCAAGATATAGGTATGGCCACGAAATTTCATCTGGGAAACTTATGCATATATACATTTTGATACATATTAATAACAATAGTAATATGTATCAATTTTTTTGAGAAATCTTGTATTAATATTAACAAATATACGTACTTGTATTTTTAAACCATAAAAAAAAAGTGTGTCACGCTATAAATTTCGGGCGAAATTTACTTAACAAAATAATGCCTATGACTAATTTTGATTGGTGCTGACTTGCTATGTACAAAATTTCAGACCAATTAAATAGTTGTGTGCTTCTAAAGTTAAACTGTAACATTTTATTGTAAATTTTTTTTTTTTCAAAAACCTATATTTACAAGGTCAAAAATAGGTTTGGGTTAATCTATACTTCTATACTTATATAATAAAACTGAAGCTGTTTATTTGAACACGCTAATCTCAGAAACTACTGGTTCAAATTCAAAAAATCTTTTTGTGTTGGATAGTCCATGTATCATATCTACATATAGGCTATATAAAATCACGCTACGATCATTAGGAGCGAAGTAGCAATGAAAAATTCGGAAAAACGGGAAAATTATTCCTCCTTTGACAGCTTCCGTTGCTTACGCTGCTTAAACGGTTAAAGTTACGTAAAAATCATGTATGACGAAATTGTTCCCCTCTAAAAGTTCTAAAGAAAAGTCCGCGACAGCATATCTCTATCTTTTAAGGTCGAGTCAGTATAACCTTTTTTATGGTAATGAAATTTGTTCTAAAATAATAATGCATTATGTATAAAATTCTCGCGTCACAATGTTTGTAACCGAACTTCTCCGAAATGGGTAAACCGATTTGTATGAAATTTTTTGTGTCTATTCGGTAGGTCTGACAATAGGTTGCAAACTATTTTTTAAACCCCTAAGTGATAAGGGTGGCCCACCCTAAAAAATTTTTGTCTATTTTTTGGACAAAATTTTTTATTTTTATTTTTTTAAGAATTGGCATCAAAAAATACACATAACCCTAAATTTTCACCTTTCTACCACCACCCCCATTTTTTAATCGTCTATATAATAAAAATCAATTGCTGTTCCTGTTAGTCTCACTAAGACTCAAAAACGGCTTGACCGATTTGAAGAATTTTTTATATTACGGAGATGGTTTATAAATAAAAAAAATAAGGAAAACTTAAAAGAACAGTTAAAAAATAAAAAAATTCTAAAAATTTTGTATGGGAATCGCCACTTCGAATTAATTTCAATAGTTGGCGTTTCTGACGGACCTGTCGTCTAACTGACGTGTCATACAAAACTAATTCTTCCGTGAAATTGTGAAAAGTATATTGCATTTCAAATCGTTCTTTGTTTTTCGTAAAAAAAAAACGTCGTTTATTTTAAGAAAAGTCTTGGTTAAAGTGAATTTAATTACACATTGCGAAAGTTTCTTATTAATTTTGATCTGCCATTCTATTTACCTATATTCACTTTGTTAGTTTCGACAAAACCTCAAACTTTACCGTTATTCGAGGATTTAATTTGAAGTTTTCAATATTTTAAAATTCTCAAGACAAAATTTACAGATTTGATTGACTGTGAAAATAATTCTGTGTCGTTTTATGAAGTTCATTAAAATGCCGAGAAGACGACAACCTCACATAGGTCCACGAAGTCAATCAAATGTGCGACGAACTACCTCAGGTGCAAACCGCAATGATTTATTTCATGGGTAATTCGGATATGGAAGTTGATCAGCGTTGTGCTCATAATCAATATAATCAAACATTGAAGCGAGACATTGAGTGGTATGAATAAAACTGAGTAGATACTCATATTCGAAGTACGAAGTACCTACTTCATTATTACTCTTATATACCTGAGCATCTACTCTATGTACTGAGTACCTACTGGGAAACATTGTATCTCCCCGAACACAAACTGAACATCTACGCGTTTTGTGAGCGTTTAATCTAGAAATGAGCATCGGCGTGGCAAATAACTGAGCTGTCTGTAAAGTAGCTTAGAAAACCAGTAGGATCGTTGTAAGAGTGAATTTTAACTAAACATGGTGACTTTCATGAATGTGGAACGTCGTCAAAAGGTGCATTCAGTTTGAAAAACACATTAGGAGCAGGAATATCGAAAACTTTTCATGTAATTAACTTTTATTTATTCATAAATTGTGCAGTGCGTTTTTTCTAACACTGGCCATAGAGATTCCCATCTCAAGGTGTCTACTACTAACTTATATTTTGGTGACTCGATTTTTGCCTTGATGGTTGAACACTGTCACTGTTGTCCCTTTTTGTTGTATCGAGATGTTACTTGAGCATCAACTGTTACTTACTGAAGTATTAGTATCATCTAGAAAAACTAGAAATATTTTGATTTGATATTCGAGTAGATACTTCGTATTTCGAGTATGAGCATCTACTGAGTTTTATTTATATCAACCATTGTCAAAAAATTGATCGAACGTTGTTTCGACAGAACTTCCTTCGCACCAAAAGTATAATGAAACATATTCAGCATTTTCGAGTTGAGTCTTTTCTTCACACAATTTTGTGATGACCTAATCAACATTTACTATCAACACGTAGATATACCACCTTGGATTGGTGCAGTGTAATACTAAAAATAACTGTATTGTATTCCCAAAATTATCTGCGAAAATCGAGTGAGCCATTCCATCAATTTTTTGGGGGGAATAAATAAATATTCTTAACAATTTACCATGCTTACAATAACTTTAAAACGTCTGCAAGATCTCAAAGTATTCATTTTTGCAACTCTTGAGTTATTCACTAAAATAAATTGACTGATCCATATATTTTTTTGAGTCACTGTAAAAGCAAATCTAAAAAAGAATGCAGTGATAAATTACGAAAATATACTGATGATATTTTCCACATTTTAGATAGGATTTATTCGGCAAAATCTTGAGATGACGTCTTCAAGTTTTTGGGCTTGATAAACAGATATATTTTGATTGAAAACCTACCATGTCAAACAGTAACTTCAAAACGTCTGCAATATTTCAAAATTCAGTTTTGCAATTCTTGATTCAATCAATAAAATAAATTGACTCAGTGATTAATTTTTTTGAGACACCCCCTATAAGCAAAACTAAAAAATATGAATGGAATGATAAATCGCAAGTATAGTCTCATCCTATTTTGGACATTTTAGATAGGATTCATTTGGCAAAATTTTGGGCTGACGTCATCAATTTTTTGGAGGGGATAAGTAAATATATTTTGAATAAAAATTTATTATGCTTATCATATGTTTAAAACATCTGCAAGATTTCAAAGCATTCGATTTTGCAGATTCAAAATTAAATTGTAGGTGAAACGGAGTTCACGGGGTCAGCTAGTGAATCATAAGTATAAACGCGTATTATTTTCATTTTCTTTTAGATAAGATTTACTTGGCAAAATTTCAAGTTAATTAACGTTTAGCTCTTATGGTTCGACAAATTTTGGTTATCGCTCATATTTACACAATATTCTTATTTTTTTGTTATTAAGTTAATACTAGTTTCGAAGAGACAACAGACAGACGGAAACAGGAGATCTACTTTTTCATATTCTAGGGACCATGAAATGTCTAGAAAGCACGAAATTAGTTACTCGATGATTTTACAATACTTAGAAAACTATAACACAATGATATAACATAAGAATATAAAATAAAGTTCTGCAAAGAAGAAAAATATTTTGTTAGGAGTAAAATACACAAAATTCGTCGTTAATTTATTTCATTAATTTTTTCTGTTTGACGCATTCAACTTTATTCAGAAAGATAATGTTCCATTAAAATAAGTCTGGAATTTATTCGCTTAATGTTGATTTTACACGAACAGCATCCACTGTGTTTTATTTTATAGAGGATTGTTAAAGTTTTAAATTACTGTCTGGGATTTTTTCAGCGCAAGTGTGGGCAGTTTTGTGTATTTTTCATGGTTTTCTTGACATTTAAGAAAACTTGTATAAAGTTCGGCTGCGATCCGTAAATTCGGGGTTAGTGTCTATGAAAAATTGGAAACTTCGAGCAAATCGTCTTGGAGACACCCGATTATAGATCCCAAATCTATCCTCATTTGTCCGTTCCTATATTTTCTTTTCCAGATTGTGTCAATGAACACATAGAGACTTCAGTTACAATCAAGATGTACACTTATATTATTTTTATTAAGTATTTATACTTAAATTACTTCTTATTACTGTTTTTATAGTTTCCTGTAAGATATTAAAAAAATATGTGCTTTCTAAAAATGAATAAATTCACTTGTAATAGACACCGTGAATTCCTAACAAGAAGCGACGACAAAACTGGCTTCAGTTTCAGATTATTTTCTACAAAGAACCCCTTTAACCACACTGTTTCCACCTTTATTACATAATTACCAAAATGAAACTTTTGTTCACCTTATCTTTTTCCCTCTCCTTTCCTCTCCATTAATGACAACACCCTCAACCAGCACCTAAACTGCAAGTATACTCACGCTTCGATATCGTCTTCGTCCTTTTCACTCTTCGGCGGAACTTTGACGGTATCCCCCTTGCCGATGACGCTGATATCACACTTCAAGTAACCCTTCGGACCGCCAGCGATGTCGTCTGGATCGGTGAGCAGAGCCCATTTGTGGTAAAACTGGTGATCTACATTCGTAATCAGATATGAATTACACTTTTTCACACAAAAGTATTGTCGGTATCTAGCTACCCACCGAAAGCTTGCGATATTTCGAAAAAGTTTGATCGAATTTTTAAACAGGATCAGACATGCTGGAAGTTTGTTCTAACAGTGAAGAGGGTGCATAATGACGAGGTGTGCGTTTCGAGCGAAGTTGCGTCGGAGAACGCTCTAATTTCATTTTTTAAAAGCGTGGGGTTGAGGCTCAGGGGCAGCTTCTAGTGTTGAAACGTTGTGGCTATAGTGCTGTAGAAGGTATTAGATTAGGTGCCGTTAATGGAAACCGAATTGCTACACCTGCAAATGGAAATTTGCTGTTCAACGTTGTGTGTAAGGTAATATTGAAAATTTGATTCGGTAGAAGTACAAGCTTCCGATTTTTAACTTCGGAGAAATTTTAAATGTGAGGTTATCAAGGAAAGTAAAAGGAAATAAAGTTTTAAAGATATTTAAATGCGTTCTTTTTTCCCAAAACGATATAATATTATTGTGGGCATTTGCAGTGGGGTGCGAGAAATGATTTTTTTTTGCAGTCACCTTATTATGATTAATTTATTTTAGAGGGATATGTGTAATGAAACATCTATTGGCGTATTAAGTAATTTATGTTACATACGTAATGTTAGAAATAAAACAGAACCTGTGATATTCATGATGGTATAGAAAAAGTTCAGATTGAAAAAACTGTGCTATACTATTCAAATTTTCATAACTGTATACTTCTTTAATAATGAGGCAACTGTTAACAACATCTGGAACAAAAAACACCAGTTATCTCTTCTCCACTTCATTATTTGATAAACAAATAGGTATTTCTTTTACAACATTCATTATATTAAGAACTTGTAGTCATCTGAAATTTTTTAGAAATGTCAAGAGTCGCTTGGAAAACATAAGAGACTCTAAAAAACACTCGTTAATTTTTTGCAGCCACTCCCTTTACCGGAATTTTCCTGTGGGTAGGCAGAGTTTTTTATTTTGGGTTTCATTGGGAGCTCGACCGTGAATGTGAAACTTGATTTTCGGGACTAGAGGTGTTGCCATTCGCTCACCATCTTGAAAATAATGTTACAGTTCTTTTTTTATTTCTCTAACGTAATGTAATTTTGAAGAACTCTTGCAGATAATAAGATTATCGAAAACTTTTATTACTAATAATAATTTTTTGGCAAGCATAGAAAAGCTGGAAAACTGGAGGATGAAAACCTTTGAGACCGTTATTTGCTATTTTCAATTCTATATAAAAGAATGGTTTATTTGTGGTCTGGTGTTATATTGTTTGTAACAAGCTGTTTCTGTACAATGACGTCATGAATTTTTTTTTTTGGCAACCCCAACGTTTTCTTTTTATTAGTTAAATAGCCGTAGAAAACAACTAATACCTTACACCAGTTCTCTTTCAATTTAAACTACCGTAAATGTTCATTCTACCATTCAACAACCATTTGGTACATATCAGCAGGTGTGCAAACACTTCGAATTGCCCAGGCGGAGGTGTTGGTCACTTGCGCGCCGCGGTTAGTTTACCCCACGTGGCAGAACTAATCCCCAAAAGGTCATAGGACACGGATTGTAAGGGTTGTCATTGCCTACAAGTACCTAGCTGATAAGAAGCCTCCCACGTTACAGTTCCCTGAGTTTCACACTAAGTCCAGCAGTATAGGGAGCAAATCTACTTTTGTAAAAAATATTTCCTCTAGATTTGGAAAAAAATAAGCGATTTTTCAACTAATGCTTTTATTTTTTATAAGATGAACGTATTGGTAGAAAATAACCCTTAAAATTCTATAGAAATTTTTCTGACCTTGGCGCGCAACTGACCCATGCTCGTAAGAGGGCGACACGTCCCATACAGTAGCATATTCGGAAAATTTTGTTATTATTCTTCTTAACTGTAGATCTGGGGATCTGGGGGTTTATCAAGATGGTGGTGATTAAATAAAGCACGTGCTTCTAATAAGTGATGAGGGACTTTTTTGGACAATGTGTCACCTTTTGTTAAATTTGAAACATTTAATATCAATTCGAACAACGAATTTCAAGAAACTTTTTTTATGTTGTTGCAGCGTAGATACTCTTTTAGTTTAACAGATAAAAAGAATATTCATGGCTTCAACTCTGTGGAATCCCTTATCTGTTTTGAAAGAACATAGAATTTTTGTTTTTCCAACTGTAATAGAATTCTTCCCAACAAAATGCATATGTGAGGTACCAACTCTTTTCGACCATTTAACTAATAAACGATCAACTATTAAATTTTGAAACGAAAAGTTGTGGTTGTCATTTAAGAAAAGTCTGAGGTCACTGTGGAAAAACTACTGGTTACAAAAATAAATTTCACGTCAAAAAGTGTTATTTTGAAGAAATCAAATTGACCTGTCCGAAAATTTGTCCAGAAAACGCCAATTAACGGATTTATATGGTCATTTGTACAGGGTCATTATAAAATATTGTAGTCAACTCACCTATGAAAAACAAATGAAATTTTTCTCGTGCCGCTAATCACCAAAATGATTTGAACTGTTTTGAAATGTCACGAACGTCCAAACAAATCTGTCAGATGTGTCAAAAATTGAAATGCCCGGTTTGGGGTTTAATTTCATTTTAAATAGACACGAAAAGACGCCAGGCCAGAGCATTAAGGGTTGCAGTGTTATCGAGCATTTGTGAACGCCACTGCAATACATTTCAGTTTCAAAAATTGTAAATTGTCAGAAAAACGTTTAAGGGCTTTGTCATGAATTACACCTTGGAAAGTCGATTGGAGTTGAACAGAATAAATCATCTGGTCTGTTTTGCAAAGAAGCAATAATTTTTCAAATAATGAAATCCAAAAAGTGAGGTTAAGTTTGTCGAAACCAATGAACACGGTAATTATTTAAAAAATTACATTTTTATAGGTACCCTGAAGGTAAAAATTGTGAAAAATGACGTAATGGACAATGGCAGAGCAAGTCTTATCACAGTTAACGAACACTATGAGTACCTAATGAGTTTTCGCAGCAAATAATTTTGCCAAAGTTGTGATCCCGCGAAAGTTCTGTTTGTAAATTGTAAGGAATCGTCAAAATATTGGTGCAGACATGGTTTGTGACCGGTGCTTTTCTCTTGAAAAAACACAACTGAAAGCCTTGATCTTCATCCCTACAATAGGTGAAAACTGCTATGTCCAAACATTACCTTCAGCTTTGCAGTTTCTAGATATCTGAAACATGCCAGATCTGCATAACAGGAATGTCAAAGAGGTTCTACCCAAAACACGTCCACATGGCCATCCTAATATCAAGATTTTTCAAAATTTCTATAACAAAAAAGATGAAAAAACCAATAAAATTTCAGGAGCATAGTGTTAAGAGTTCTGTAGATGATTATGAGATCTCTTGAAACAACAGAATGTTTAATAAAGATTTTTAACTTTCCTAATAGTAAAATTACAATTATTACTAAACAGTAAGTTGAAGTAAGTTTTAAATTAAGAGAATGCAACTAACACCGAAAGAAAAATGAAAGTTACTGAAAATAAAAAACTTTATTGCAGTACCTACATACACTTTCTACATCTAATTTTGTTTATTGATCACATTCATTTACTTGAAAAAGTATCAGGCCTATGAATTGTCGTCTGGAAACAGCTAACCACACACCAACCTTCATTGCGTGTGATGGTGTTTCTTCAAAAGCGTGAGTATTTTCTATACACCAAATTCTGAAGTTCTGTCAGTTGACATAATAGCCTAACAGATGAAACCAGGCTTCATCAGAAAAGAACGACAAATCGAGAATCCCGTTATCGTCCATATCAGCTTGAAACCAACTACAATACCCAACGCGGCAAGGAAAATCAGCTTGTTGCAGCTCCTGAACCAACAAAATCTTGTATGGATGCATATGTAACTTCTCTTTTACGATTGTCTGACATGGGCTGTATGGTACTCCGGACAGTAAAGATTTTTGACAAAGCTTTATTCGGACTTTGTTCCATTCTCATCCTTAAATCTTCAACAACGTCTTCACTAACTTGAGGTCTCCCCGTCGGTTTTCACTTAGAAATGCTACCAGTGTCGTTAAATCTGGCCATAATTCGCCATATAGCGTCTTCAAAGATTCTTCATCAATGACAACAGAACATTTCACTAGATACTCGTTTTTAGACGCCTCCACAGAGTACACTCCATCCCCATCCTCATTTAACACCCCATTACGGTAATAGGCATGATGATTGCGCCAAAGAACTAAAAAAATCATTTGTAACACTGACCATAGTTATTCCTCTGTGTTCATTACCTGAGATTATTCCACAATGATCTGTAGTTTTGATAAAAACTGTTTTTTGAGACACTTATTAAAGTTCTAACAAAGGGGAAGACAGCAAAAATGAAAACAAGACAAGTCAATTAACGCACAAAGTGAGGGAAAACGTATCAGTACAAACGAAAAAATTATTGACATCTGACAGAATTTGATGAAGCGTTGAAACAGTGCAGCCGCTAATGTCAACTAATGTGGCGTTAAAAATAAAAATTCCAATATTAGTGTAATCCTTTCCACAAAACTGAAAAAGGCGGCACAAAATGTCACCAAAATCATGGCCTTCTTCGACTACAATATTTTATAATGACCCTGTATATTTGTATGTATATTGAATTCTAAAAATTCTTTCTAGAATTTTAAATTTTGCTGTAAAAATGTAATTCTCTCGTTTGATTGTTCATGTTCTAGAAAATTTTAAATTCTAGGTTTTCTTTCTTTATGTTCAATTTAATCTTGTTGCACTGTGAGTACAAACTTAACCCTGAGGTTTAGGTTTAAAATTCGTTTAATATTTTGAGACTGCTTTTCACTTTAAAAATTTTAGAGTTCTAAATGCAGAAGATGTGGTTTCGTGAGAAGAATTTTAGCTTTTCAACAGTGCTTTCGTAAGATTAATATACTATGTGATTTTTTTTCAATCATGACCTAGTTTTTACCAAATTGCGTGGCTCATCTCTTAGAATATACAATTTGAGTTGTGCTGAGTTACCTATAATCATAAGCGACCTAACAACGTAAATTGTGCTTTGTTTTCATTTTCGGAAATACAGTTATTGTTTTTCCAATTTTCGACAAAAATCCGTCTTTTTAGTTCCCGAGCGTAAGCGAAGGAAGTATTGTAATCGAGTCCGTCGGCCGACTCTCTACTTCTGTCTGTCTGTCCGTCTGTCTCTTCATCCGTCTGTCCATCTGTCAGCCGTCCTGGATTTTTATTAGACAGATAATCTCTGTGTATTTATATTATGAATATCATATAGATGGTAAAACGCTAACCAAAATTTGTTTAATCATCCCCACCACTAATGCGATGACGTCACTTCAAAATTGTACATTATAAATGGGTTTTAAATTGTATAAAATAACATACTCCTACACATATAGTTTTACCCGAAAAGTCCAGATTTTTGGAAGAACAATCAAAATTATCAAACAACATTTAATTTGGAATCTGCAAAACCGAATGCTCTGAAATCTTGCAGATGATTTACAGTTATGATAAGCATGATAAATTTTTAATCAAAATATATTTACTTGCCCCCTCTAAAAAATTGATAACGTCAATTCAAAAGTTTGCCGAATAAATAATATCTAAAATGTACAAAATATGATGAGTCTGTAGTTGTGATTTATCATTCCATTAATATTTTTTGGAATTGCATATACAGGGTGACTCAAAAAATTAATGAATGGGTGAATTTAATTGTTTTAATCAGGAATTACAAAACCGAAAGCTTTGAAATCTTGGAGATGTTTCAAAACTATCATAAGCATGGTAATTTTTTAAGCAAAATGTATTTGCTCGTCCCCCCTAAAAAATTGATGACGTCACCCCAAAATTTTGCTGAATAAGTCCTATCTAAAATGTACAAAATATGATGAGTCTGTACTTGCGATTTATCATTCTATTCATATTTTTTAGATTTGCTTAATAAGTGGCTCAAAAAAATTAACGAATGGCTCAAATTTTTTATTAATAAAATCAGGAATATTTCACTCCATTTTCCCGAGAATTTGCAGAGACAACACTGTTATTATTAGTATTACATTGCACCAACCCAATTTGATAGACACAAAATTTTGTAAAGTAAAAACTGGTTTGAAACATGGGCGGAGCACGCTTATATACATTTACTTTAACATTACAGATGTTGTGTTGTGCTGACTAGGTTTATTGATTATAAATCAATATTCAAGACGACTTAATTCATTTTCCCGAAAATTTGGGAATACAGTACTTTCATTTTTAGTATTAGACTACATCTATCCAAACTGATATAGTGTCGTTGCCAAAATGTTGATGACGTCATCGCAAATTTTTTTTAGAATGCCCCGCAAAAAATATAATAGGCATACAGTCGTCATGTTTCCGACAGCGAGGGAAGTACTGTCTAAACTCTCTAGATCAATTTTTTACATCTATATGTGAGAGTGAATCAAAACTATCCAGGTGTGTTTTGGCACACAAGCAAAATTTTCATCTCAAGAAAAATATTTTCCGCAGATCATAAGAAATCCATGCTTATTTCGTGAGACTGGTACCATTAAGAGGAAATCAGAAAGTCGGCCAACACTTCCAGCAATTAAATATGTTATCATAATTAAATCATTTAAAACCCAACGAGGGTTTAATCCTTATTGACATAACATAACCTAGCTTTCTAACTTATATTCAAGTTACTTCGTGAAATTGAGAATTCATCAAATGATGCACATTTTTAAAAACAAATTGAATTACGGATTGAATTCATTAAAGTTTTATAACTTTTCAAGTTCAACATTGTGACCTGTCCTACTTTTAGACCGAATTTGTTCTGTCAACAAATTCTTGGCTAACTAGATCACAAATCAAGAAAATCACCCAGTATTTTGGAAATTTTTCCCTAAGATTTTACATTTATAAATTTTAAATTCGTCTTACTAAAAATTTTAAATCTATCTTATTGAAAATTTTATTACTTGAGTGGAAAAAGTTTTCATCAAACGGTTTTTATTTGTAGTGCACTTTTCTAAAGCACACGATTTAGAAACCATTGCTTACTTTGGCAATCAATAAAAATCAATTATATATAAGGAAGTAAATATAGGTTTAGTTGTTTAATAGCAAGTGCTCTATAAAAGAGGAAAGATATATTATATTAACACGCATTACTTATTAATATAAGTTATAGATAATTATGTTACCTACAATCTACAGAAATTTTACAAAATTTATGTCGGCTTCAGGATTTTGGAGATAAATAAAAAAATACGAATTATTTGTCACTTATTTTTATTTCCAAATAATGCAAATGTTTTATTTAAAATTTAAAATGCAAATATTCTAAAATATTTTAAAGTATCAAGTAAAAAAAAACTTGGTTTAAATCATGTTTAAAAGAGTGTATGATTAAGACTTCACAAAGTCGTGAGTGAGTGTGAATTATATTTTTTCATTGAATCCCTTATACTCAAGTGTTACAAGCACTCACGAATCACTGATGTTCACGAATCTTAATATTTGAATTTACGCTCACTTTAGAATGACCTACGACTTTTAAAACCGAAATTTGTGGCTGAGAATTCGGAGAAGCGCCCAAATGAGATTTGAACCCGCTTTTTCGGTATGTGTGTCGCCTCAGGCATGACTCGTATGAACTTTTCTAGCGGAAATAAGCTCTTTCGATATTTGCATGGAAGGCTGTTGTTACGCTGAACTGAGCAAGAAATAAAAATTAATTTTCATTATATATAGATAACTTGTACAAAACATTCACTTGGACAAATCTGTTTTTATAACATTTCGATTTTTATTTAAGAAAATAATATCCGTGAATGAGTAGAAATGAGAGTAAACGGTGTATGAGTGCAAGGAACCCCCGTCACCATTAAGCGATAAATAATTTACTAACAATTTCTATGGTATTTTTTAAGGTCCCCAGAAATTGAAAAAATGGTTCTAGAGTAAGTGTCATTGTTTAGTATATATGTTTGGTAATATTTGTGTTTTACTATTTTTGTGAATAAGTTTATTACCAATATATCCTTCTAAGACTTTTAAACTGTTGCCACAGAATATGAATAATAATCAACTAACTGAAATAGTGAGTAATTTAAAATAACTCTACAGCTGTTATCTCTACAAAAAAATACATAAAATAACACTGAATATGTATTTTTGAGAGAAGAAAAAAGATAAGCAAAAATTACTATCGGTTTTACATTTATCAGTTTCATAAATTTTATTGTCCAATCAATGACCAAAAATAAAAAATAAGCTTCTCATAATACTCGAAAACATTACATAATTCGAGGATCTCGAATTTCAAAGTCTACGACTTCTGGTATCAAGACCATAAGTAACACGGTTTTTTCAGTTACGACTAACTAAATCTCCCAGGACGTTTATTTACATTCCCACAAATGTAGAAACCGTCTTCATATCGCAGGTCATCTCTGGGGACTGAGTGCGGTGAACGTCAAATGTAAGGTTGGCAAAGACGAAGAGCATTTAATAATGACTTCTGTGTATTTATGGCCACAGAACTCCAACCTCGACACAAGGAATAGGTAATGAATCATGGTGACACAAAGAAGAAATCTAATTAGAAGTGATGAAGCGCCCAATTTAGCACTGCTATGTTCAATAAAATAAATGGAAGCTGAAATTACAATTTAAAAGACAATTTATCATCAACATAAACGTGTTGCTGTAGTTTCGTTTATATTTGCATAATTATGAAAATAAGTCTTAATTAAGACTCTGGACCACTCGAAACTAGAGCTATTTAGGATAGCAAGCAATTGCATTAAATTTTTTACTTATCCCGGCGCCTCCACCATTTATGTTGCGCATATGTGTGATCTATTATTTTTACCTGTTTTCAGTACCATCACTTAAACAAATAATGAATACAATTTTTTCTTTTATTTTAGTAGGGAATGAACACATT